CCGCATGCATAGCATAAATTAATACCACACAGAAAAAAGTACTTCTACAGAATTCAAGATAACAATTATTTAATTATTTATGTGATCAAGCAGCCACAGGTAGGAGAGAAAGCTATAAGTGGACTCCAAACCATGGCTTGAGACAATGAAAGAAGTTATGACATGTACAAACTATTATTATTGTGTGATAAATATTTTAAATTAAAATAATCTTCATAAACACATTTTAAAGAATAAGCAGTCAAATCTTTATGGCCACATTTGCATTTTTTGTTTGCTTCAGTGCATTTTGATAATTCTGCAAATCAGGGGAAAGGGGGTTGGGTTCAGACCCCCCTCCCCCCCAAATCTTAGCATCCTCCTCTTTTTTCCTTCAGCCTCCAACTCTGAGTATTCTAAGACCCAAATTGCATCAACTGATTGATGATTCTTGGCCAAGAAGTACCTTAGATATTCAAAAGAAGGTCTTAGGACTGAAAATATTGCAATATAGCTATAAAATACCGTAAGTAGGTCACAGTGACCTACTTTTTGATTGAAATTTTCTGAGGACTCATGATGCATCAATTGACAAAGATTGATTATTCCATGCTGATAAGTACTTGAAGATATTCAGAAGTATGTCACTGTGACCTACTTTTTAGATAGACATTCTCCAAAAACCAAAGTTGCAACAACTGCCAAAGATTGATGATTCTAAAATTGAAAAAGTAGGACATAGTGACCTACTATTTAGAGACGTACTCCAATGACCAAAGATGCAATTGAAGAATCTATGCCAATCATCTTTGTGAGCCAAGGGTGACGATCCGCTCTTTTTCTCTTTTCACGAAGAAAAGCAGAGTGTCATCCTTATCTAGCGAGGATGTATGCCTATTAGTACCTGAAATATTTAGATATAGCTATAAAATTCAAAAGTAGGTCACAGGGATCTACTTTCAGTGGAAATATATAGAGGACCCAAGATGCATAAACTAACAAATTCAATTTGATGATTCTAAGTCAATAAATATCCGAAATATTATTTTATTATAAACTCTAATAGTAGGTCATGGTGACCACTTTTTTACTTGACATACTGTGAGGACCCAATTTGCATCAACTGCTATCTATGTTCCCTTTTTCCCAAAATCAGTTGAAATTGGTTCAGAGGTTGCAGAGAAGAAGTTGAAAATGTTGAATAATTTACAATAACAATTTATGATGATGGACCAAACAATAATAGGACATCTGGGTGACTCAGGCCAACTAAAAGGTAAATACGGATTCAAGATTTACCTTAGTTTTTTCAACAACTTTATTGACAAGATTGCTCCCTCCAATCCATGAGAACAACCCCCCTCTCTGATTATTCTGATCTGTGGGGGACTCGGGGGTCATCTCTGCTGGAACTGGAATATGAGAACTGGCTTCCCAGGGGGTCTCTATTTGGGCTATTATTAAAATAAACAATACTGTGTGAATGCAAAGAAAAGTGCAAGGAAAATTTTGCCCAAATGAATATAATATTTCTCCCTTTGCCCTAATCCAAGTTGGTGATTTTAAAACAGGATGAATTTAAAGTTGAAAATTGATTGCTGTAAATGTATTATATTTGGTGTGTACGATATTTGGCGGATATTGATTTTTCAACAAGTTAGTGTAGATTTGATTTAAGGGTGTCTGAATGAACTAAGTATTAATAAATGTTTTTATATATAAGAATTTAGTGATGTACTTGATTTAGTGGAGACTGCTTCCCAACAAAATCACTAAACAGAATTCACCACTATATGTAATACATTTACAGTACTTTAACACAACTGGGTCTAAGCAAATCTGAAATGCAGCAATGTCTTTTCCAAGTGTGATATGGCAAAAATAAATGAGGCAAAAATAATCTTGCATACACTACAATATCAATATAAGAATACAGACTTTTTTCAGTGGCATGCTTGAAAAATGTAAAACTTCTCAAAACTTTTTCATTCACTTCTTTAAAAAACACTTCTGCTTACACTTTTTTTAAGCAAAGGGTTATCCCTTTTTTAAAATCATCATTTTAGAAAAAGGGTCCAAAACTATTTTAGATATAATTGTGACATATTCAGGAATGATAAAAATAATATATCTGATTGGCTCATGTGGGTTCTTCTTTGCATCTTATAGCAATCGTAAATAAGCCTATGGGCCTCAAGGCTCACAGCATTCTCTTGACCCTGCTTTTCTTCATTGACAGCTTTGATTCATGTTGTGACCCCACCCTATCTCACGACTGTATTGTGACATGCATTTTTTTTTAATAGTTGTAGCCCCATCCTACCATCGGTTTCATGATTTGAACAAATTTTAATCACTGAACACACTTTCATATGAACACACTTTCATATCAGTATAACTTTATGATGTTCTGTAAAATATAGGTTTCAAAAGATTTTTTAAACCTATTTATTTCTATATGATTTACACTTAACCCCCACCTCCACAGATCTATTCATATCACCCTGATCTTTCTGGGTAAAAATATGCACTGTACAGTCAAATCTTGTCTCAAACTTGATGGGACCAAGGTAAATTTTCGAGATATCAGATGATTCTAGATATAGGTTAAAATACATAATGAATAAGTAATTGGGAAAATAAAGTTAAAATACATCTATTGGGAAAATTGGATTTTTACAGCACAAATAAGAGGTAGCAATAGTTTTCACAGATGAAAAATCTGTAACACTATTTATTAACAAGCGGCCCATGGGCCACATCGCTCACCTGAGTAGCTTTGATTCATGCTGTTCATTACCTAATTTCCCCCTTGTAAAACCTTTTGTGATCCCACCCTACCCCACGGGTCATAATTTGGACAATTTAGAATCTACACTACCCCACCATGCTTTCGCATAAGTTTCAACTTTTTTAGACCAGTAGTTCCTGAGCGGCAGATTTTTAAAGATTTTCCCTACAAAGTTCAGTGTTAAACTTGGATTCCAAATTGTGGCCCCACCCTACCCCAGGGGGTCATGATTTGAACAATTTAAAATGTACACTTCCCAAGGATGCTTTCACATTAAGTTTCAGCTTTTCTGGTGAAGTAGTTCTTGAGAAGAAGATTTAAAAAAAAAAAAAATTTAATGTAAAACTTGGGTTCCCTATTGTAGCCCCACCCTAACCCTGGGGGTCATAATTTGAACAATTTAGAAATCTACATTACCCCAGTATGCTTCCACATAAGTTTCAGCTTTTCTGGCACAGTGGTTTTTGAGAAGATTTTTTCTATATTCTATCTAGAAAGTTTTTTCCTATATATTTCAATGTAAAACTTTTATTCTTGTGGCCTTGCCCAACCCCTTGGGGGTCATGATTTGAACAATTTAGAAATCTACGCTACCCCAGTATGCTTCCACATAAGTTTCAGCTTTTCTAGCCTGGTGGTTCTTGAGAAGAAGATTTTTAAAGATATATTTCTGTATATAAAACTTGGATTTCCTACTGTGGCCCCGTCCTATCCCCGGGGTCATGATTTGAAAAATTTAGAATCTATACTACCTTAGGATGCTTCCACATAAGTTTCAGCTTTTTCTGGCCTAGTGGTTCTTGAGAAGAAGATTTTTTAATGACCCCACCCTATTTTGATATTTTCTTGAATATCTTCCCTTGGAAGGGGACTTGGCCCTTTACTTTAACAACTTAAATTTCCCTTTACCCAAGGATGCTTTGTACCAAGTTTGATTAAAATTGGCCCAGTGGTTCTTAAGAAGAAGCTGAAAAATTTGAAAAGTTTACAGATGGACGGACAGCCAGACAGACAGATGGACGACGGGTGATCAGAAAAGCTCACTGGAGCTTTCAGCTCCGGTGAGCTAAAAATCAATGCATTTCCACTATATAATCAACAGAGCCCCACCCTAACACCAGAGCCCCTGTCCCTGGGGCATGAAATTAATAATTTTGGAAGAGCCATCCTTATTAAACATAACTATGCACTTGGTTAGTTTATTTAATGCCCATGAGCAGAGGGGAAGAATTTTAAAGAATTTATGCATTTTCACTATATAATCTATTTAGCCCTGCCCTAGCACTAGAACCCCTGACCCTGGGGCCATGAATTTCAGCATCTGTTAAACTTAACCTAAATGCTGATTATAATCATACCAACAGTTACTGCTTTCATGTCCAGGAGTAAAGAAGAAGATTTTTTAAAGATTGCATTAATTTTACAAGGTTTGGCCCAACCCCCAGGGGGGCAGGATGATGAAATTCACAATTTTGGAAGAGATAGCCTTATTCAAAATAACTATGACAGTATGTTCTTGGTTAGATTATTGAATACCCAGGAGAAGAGAGAAGATTTTCAAAGAAATAAGTAAATTTCACTCTATAATCTATATAGCCCTGCCCTAGCACTAGAACCCCTGACCCTGGGGCCATGAATTTCATAATTTTGATAGAGGACTCAATGCTGATTACAATTATACCAACAGTTTGACTGCTTGATGTCCAGGAGTAAAGAAGAAGATTTGGAATAATTTTACTGGTTTTTGGCTCCACCCCAGGCCCCAGGGGTACAGAAACTATGAAATTCACAGTATGTTCTTGGTTAGATTATTGAATACCCAGGAGAAGAGAAGATTTTCAAAGAAATAAGTAAATTTCACTCTATAATCTATATAGCCCTGCCCTAGCACTAGAACCCCTGACCCTGGGGCCATGAAATTCACAATTTTTGTTCTCCTTCACTCAAAGATGCTTATGCCAAAATTGGTTGAAATATGTCCAGCGGTTTCAGAGAAGAAGCTGAAAATGTTCAAATGTTAACACATGATGCATGGCAGATGAAAGGGATAGCAATAGAGTGACTCAGGTGACCTATAAATAGACAATATAGGCATTGTTTCATTGTGGTACAATACACATTCCATATTGTACAGCCCTTGTAAACTCTGCCAATGCTTGACAGACCTGATTTTCACTGTCACTGGTCTGACTATTTTTAGCCAGTCTACTTTTGCTGCCAGCATTCCTCCTTAGTAGCTCTGAATCTCTTTAGCATTGACTAAAGCAAAAATACAGAACAGAGTATGGTGGGGATGATCAACAGCTGTGTGATGAATAATCTGAAAACAATAAAATCAGAAGTATAAAAAGTATCGATAGCAACAAATTTGAAAACAAGATCAAAAGATCTTTTAAATAATCTTCACCCAGCAAAGTTAAAACTGAACAAAATATATGATTTGGAATTGAGAGGCCAATGTTGTAACAATTTGAGAGTTCCAATGATTAGATTGAAATTGTCTTTAATAGTTACATGTTTATATATTACTGAATCTCTTTCTTTTGATGTTCAGTAAAGACCTACTTTTTGCAGTGTTTTCTGTAGAGAGGGAGATTGATCAGCAGGTGGATTAGTGTCCATTCTAGCACACAGTTGGTACATCAAACTCAGAAACTTGTAGGATTTAATATTGTCCATGTTTATCTAGGATTTTAAGAAGCAAATTAATAGAGACGAAACACTATACATGTCACATATTCTGAGTGAAATATGTTCTCAAAATTCATTACCATAATCAAACCACTAATGTCTGCATAGGTAGGATTACTGAACCATAGGGATACCAGACGGAATATGCGGATATCGTGTTTGTCCCCATGCTTCAGACATTTGATATAGTTCTGGACAGCCTGTTTTAGGCATCTCCATCTATCCTCCTCCATAGCATTCAGTTCTGACTGATCTATCTCACTCTGTTTGCTTAAAGTTCTATAATATCGACTGAAAAAAGAATTTTAATTTTATTTGACCAAATAAAAACTGCAAAATCATATGTAATGAAATACATGGAGAAAACAAACAGTATTTTAGCTCAAAAGTCCATTAAACATTACAAAATAGGAGCAGAGCAAACATGGACCTCCAAAACATCAGAGGTGGAATCAGGTGCCATGGAGGAGTGAGCATCACCTGCTGACAGATCACTCTCACCAAGTGTTCCTTGTCATGTTCAGGAAAAAAACCCAGAAGTATCTGTGGACAACTTGGTGTGTTAGCTAGTAGATTTTGATTTTTTTAACCCCCCTCCCCCAACTTCTCTTTTTACCAACATTAACAAGTGCAATTTTACGATCAGGGTCAATAATACAGACCCTGAGACGTGCTACCTCCCCACACGCTTGCTGCATGAACGGTACACGAACGCTACATGATTTGCACGAAACGCTGCATGGTTTGCACGAAACGCTACACAATTTGCACAAAACACTTTGCACGAAACGCTTTGTACAGGTTTCTCACACGCTTTGTACATGATTCTACACGTTTTGGCCTCGGTTTGGATTTTCTACTCGGAATCTCTCGGACATTATTACGGTTTTATTGTTGAAATATTAATTACATCTCAATCTCACAAGCTAGTTTAACAGCTGTTTAAATTAAAATTCAGTAAACAGCAGTATTAATATATAGAACGATAGAAATATTCAATACTCTGACAGTTGTAATTAATTAATAAATAATTGTCAATAAATAATTTTGTATTTATTTAACCAGTTGTATAGAGATAGAATGCCGATATCATGGTGTACGTATTTTATTCGCAGGCTTACTCACTGCATTATAAATTATTATTTTTATATATTGTTATTCATTACAATACGCTTCTTGCAAATTAATATTTTTACATGTATTATATTGAACAAAAATTTAATTTCTTACTTCAGGTAGCTACAACTCATTTGTTGATTTTAAATAACAGTCATTGATTAAATTGCGTTTGCTTTCCGTAGGCAGATTACATTTCTTGTTTTTTTTTTTTTAATTAAATAATAAAATTTGTCTATATAATTTATCCAAAAAATGATTACTTTAGGGTCCATTTTATTGCTAAATGTATATTACATGTCAGTAAAAGTGCAGAACAGATTTAGTCAGGTTATCATTTCAGTTAATTCAATGTAGATCTAAAGTTACACATACGGATATATTAGAAAGAAAACTGAAATATCCTAGATAAAATAAAAAAAAGGCCTGAAGGGCCATAATATACAATGATTGACATGGATGTAAAATGTAAGGAAATGTAGTATTAGAATATTACTTAGTGTTTCATCAGAAATTTCTTACTGCAAGGGTGGGGGTTCGCTGAATTGACGGTATATACGTTTCTTGGCAGTTGAGTTTATTTTTTCTAAATTCATATTTAAATGAAAAATACAAATTCACTAATAACCTTTTTTAAAGGTAAATAAAAGCTAAATATATAGATTTTGAACAAATTGTCAGTTTTTGCTTAAAATTATTCTACAATAGAGTTTTTCATATAAAAGAGATCTAATCACGAAAAATTGTTCTATTAAAATTTTCTATAAAGCCATTGTCTTTTTACTGTTTTATGTTACGGTATTGTGCTAATTTTGCTATCTACAAATAGGCCTAATGACCCTCCCTTATTTTTTAATGTGTCTACTCTTGCAGTTATCTTGAAACTTTTTGTTCTCATTATGTAGCACCAATGTAATGCTTACTGCATGAAGATATTGTCACTATGGAGCGCTTCTGAATAGTGTATATAGAAGCACATGCGTTGGAAAAGTGCTTTCCATATATGGAAGTAAATTATAGAAACATTGATAATGTTAATCACACGTTTCAGTTTTCAGTACATGAATGCAAAAATTATGTGTTTAAATGATGATTTTTTTTTTTAATGTCGGAGCATCTATGTTATTTATAGAATGACCTGCGAATGTTGGAAAACCCCACATGTACATTAACAATTAAGTGTATTCCTTTTACCGTTCGTACTATCTGACAGCCATCTGCAGTTACATTTTATGGTTATTAATTAATATTTTCATCAACTACAAGCTTGATATTTAGTAATATATGCCAGTGATTAAATTGCAATGAACAAAAATTGGCAGTTAGGCTATTGCATCATACCCCATGCCACGATATGCATTGAGTTTACAACATTGAGTTGGCGGGAGATCGTGATCGCGTTATTGCCAGGCAAAAACGGCCTTAGGAAATCACTGCTTTTAGCAGCTGTTTAAACAGTTTGTAAGGTAATATACATTTAATCTGTGTTCCTACGAACTATCTGGCGCAATAACGTACTCCCAACAGAGTTCTCTTTCTTTCATTTAGATTGACGCTGTTGACACATACGGTCAGAAGATATTCTTCCGCATCCTCACAAGAGTTTATTCAATTTAGTTTTTTTTTATTTGGTTTATCTTGTCTTCAGTGGCGAAAATTAAATGAAAATAACAAGGTTTTTGATTAAGGACTTGGTGAGTAATTTTCACAACAAACGTAGAATAAAATTAAAGAAAAGACGAGGACTATTTTATCTTGCTCATGTCTACTAGAATACACAGTGAACTCTTTGCCGTAAAAATACACCGGGAGCTATAATGGCTTCGTAAGCCATAAAAATGATTTACAAAACAAATAATATACAATATGATTCATAATTTACTTCTGAACTTTAAAATATTATTTTCTTGAGAAGACTAGCAAATCAGTACTACATGTATTTACGGCTAGAAATTCATATTTGCTAATAAAAGATTAAATCCATGGACATAAGTTGTACCCATTAAATAATAATCAAACTTTATTTCATCTCCAAAACTTTTCAGGAATGCAACATGTACATGTCACAAAACAGGTATGTTCAGTTCCATGTACTCGGAGCCCGTGGTTGCTTTTGTAAATGACGTTGATCACAATTGAAAAGGAGGAAAGAAGATTTCAATATATTTTTAAGGGGTGTGGCGGCGCACACAATTAACAAAAGATTTAAAAGAGAATGCAAGAGTCAAACATTATTTATATATAGAAAAATCAAACATTTATTTAAACTAATGTTAAAGTTAACTACAAATTGAAAGACTGTACTATAATTTTCTTTTGACCCCCCCCCCCACTACACACACACACACACTCCCCGGGAATATCTAAACCTGTGCTCGACGGTGCAAGTGAATTAAAATTCTAATCCATTTATTTGATAATAATGAACAACGAATTATATGTATTAAAAGGTATTAAATGACACATCGTTTCTGAACTTTCTATCAAATACTTTAAATGTAAAGACAAGAGCGGATATCTTTCTTCTTAAAATAAATATATGTGTATATGTATGAATACTGGTATATATTTCTTTCTTTGAGAAAAAAGATATCTAAAAACCATAATCGCATTGATAGTATATTGAACTCATTGCCCTTGAAATTGTTGTACATGTACATTATGTATAATTAATTTGAACACATTTTCTTTAGGAGAAAAAAAACGCAAACGAATGTATTATACATTACCTAGGGGTGGGACGATTATATACCGATACACCGATACATACCGATATTTTCCTCTAAGATACGGTTTTCGATACAAGCATGCAAATATCAGTACGAAATGATACACGAACGACCCATCCAAATTGAAAATGGAAGTACCTGTCCTCGGAAAATGGCGGCTTGTACGAAGCAAAGAGATGATGTTGATTATTGAAAACACGCTTTAGAACTAATAAGTCGTTGGTTAGGGGTAAAACGTTTTCACTTTAAAGCAGCCTCGGAAGATTAGACAAGAAAAGTTCAGTATGTAATGCGTGCTATACACAGAAAGTATCGTTTCCAGAACATTTGGTATTATTAATTGTTAGTCCATCTCGTACTTTTTTTTTGTAATCTCAACTTTGCTACAGACTTCAGCAATTAATAATAATGTAAATGTGATGCTTTTTAAAGGTACTTGGACACAGATTTGAAGTCAATATTTTCTCTATAATATTACGACTTATATATTTTAATAGCATTTCACACAAAAATTAATAAAAAATCTTATTTCATGTAAAAGTTATTAATACTTCAAATTTTTCGGCGGGTTTGATTGACACATGCTTGCACTTTCACAAATTTTAACCTTAATATTAATCCTTAGGAAAAGTGGCAATCTTGTGTATTAATGAGAGATATTTAAACTTTTATCCAGAAAAATAATTTTATTCAGAGTAGAGATGTTAGAAAGAAAACTCCTTCACAAGTATCGTCATTCCGAACTAAGAGTTGCGTACAGGATTTAGCAAATCGAGCACACTCGTGTTATGTACACAGTTTTTGTAAACAGGGCACGAGTTATGTTTTTGTTCATGTGTACAATTCACCGGGTGTGTTCTATATCGTCACAGTCTGCTTACCACAACTGCACGGACTGAGAGTATATTGTGTGTTTGTTTTGCTTTCGAACATGTCTACTCTGAATTTTCTGCATTACAGTATTAATATTTATCATTTATACACAACAAGATTGCCACCTTTCCTAAGGATTAAGAATAAAATTAATTTGTAAAAGTGCAAGGACGTGTCAATCAAACCCGTCAAAAAATTTGAAATTTTAATATCTTTTAAATGAAATAAGATTTTTCATTTATTTTTGTGTGAAATGCTATTAAAATATATAACTCGTAACATTATAGAGAAAATAATAATTTCAAATCTGTGTCCAAGTACCTTTAAGTGAATCTAATGTAGCATCTAAGTTCTAAGTTCTCTAATGAATTACACAGCTATTTGTAAATAAACAACTTCTTAATAGTAATTTGGTAATAATAATATGTACATGTATTATTGTTTTTGTAAAGTTTTAGTTAATGAAATTGATGAACTTCAAGTATTAATTTCAAAAGCACACATGACTTGATATAGAATAATTTGATGATTTAATGTCAAGACAAAAAGAAAAAAAAATAATTTAGCATAATATCGAGATATGCATCGTATCGTGCTACTGTATCGAGATACGTATCGTATCACAAGATCTGTGTATCCTCCCACCCCTAACATTACCGTGTAATTTCATTTACTTATTCCCATTTTTAACTCCTAAAATACCACAAGTATAACTAATAAAATAATAACACAATTTGACATCATGACATCTACTTCCGAATGAATCTTACACATTTCTTACATGATTCTTACACGAAAGTCGCACGTTTCTCACACGCTTGCTACACGACTTGCACAAAACGCTCGCACGACGCTACACGGTTTGCACGAAATGGAAAGCGCATGAAAGTTACACGCTTTTTTTGGGTAGTAGCACGTCTCAGGTCTGTAACAATGCAGTGCATCTTTCAAGTCATTTAGTCAGAAGGATCTTAAGTTATGGTCTGGTCTTGTTTTTCTTAATTTGACCTTGAATGAAGAAGGTGGTTTAGGTCATTTTCAAACAAATCTTCAATTACATTATTCCAATTGGATTACATGCGCTGATATTTTTTTCAATAAAATATCAAATATTTGCCAGATTCGATGTGCTGCCTATTAATACAATAATGCCTGTTTTTTTAGTGGACTGCCTCTTAATTCTTTACTGTTTCTTATCAATTCTCGGTAAAATAATTTGAAAAGTTCAGAAAATGGCACAGATTTGTTTTAAAATTGATTTTAATGATTTGGGGGCTTTATTTTGTAACCTTGATCTTGAGCCTTACAAAGGCTGATTTGTTAAACAGGTTGACCCCAATGGGTTGGAGAAAAAAAGTGTCGACCTATCATTAAAATAATTATGGTAGGAACTTCCAGTGTTTTTCCATAGCAGTTATATCCCAGACAAGATTTCAGACAGACAGACAGACAGATAAGGTGATTTCCATATATTACAGACAGTAGGGGTGAATGGACACATCACTACAGCTTAAGTTAGATATTTACTCTTTCTCAAGATTGTCCATTCCAAGCTGTTGCATCCTTGTTATTTCCTTTTTTGCCTTTGTCATCAAGTTCTGCTTGGCTTCAAATGTACTTGACTTCATGTAGTTCACAATGTGTTGATACTGACCATCAGCAAACCGAGCCAGAGAAAGATACGCATCTAGAATTGTATCCCCTTTCTCCTCCAAGCTCTCTAACAAACTCACTGTCTGAAGGAATATCATTTTGTCATCATTCCAAAGTCCTCATTCTCAAAGCATAGATAATTTCTGAATTCACGGGACAAAAAAGCTTACTACAATTTAAGTATTCCTTGCCTCATTTCTTCCATAAATTTGAAAATAACCTTGTACATCACAACGTGACAATATCTTACCTTTTCAAGATACTCTTCCATAATGGTGTTGGGATCTTCTAAATTAGTTTCTGCTGCCCAGTTTCCATACATACTGAGGACTCTAGGGTACAGCTTTGCTGCTTCCAAGTTGCTTTCTTGTTTCTTATTGAAATAAAAAAAATAAAGTGCCCCATCACTGCATGATACGCCTGTCAAATAATTTCTATCATCATGAACAGTTTAAAGTGCAAGAAAATAATGTCAATCTTGATTCCATGATTTTCCCATTCCTTAAAGTATTTGATGTTTACACCCCTGTGGTGAAGGCATTAATTATAAAAAAATGTTACATCATAAATGTGTTAGACCTTGTCGTATCCCCATCATATTAAGCAATATCAAATTAGTCTTTTTAAAACAACTTAATCTATACCAAGTTAAAGCTGAACAGGATTCGTAAAAGGAATTTGTCCACCATTTTTGTTCCCGAGTCTCGCTACTCTGCAGACCCCTATATATAGGGCAAAACTTAGACACTGTTCAGTGTAATCAGTCGAAACCGAAGAAGATGGACGTATGCTATACAGCACTCGGTAGCAAGAATAATAATGTAATATTTGGTCTAATGCAGGAAAATAAGATACCAAATAAGTTTACAATTATAGTTGTATAAGTCAGTGCAGTATACAAACACGTAACTGCAAAATAATATAAACAAAGGTAATGCAAGATAACCAGCACGAACACGGGTCGCCATTCCACACCGATGCCCGTGACAATAAAGCAGTCAGGTGTAACAAATGCGACGAGTATACCCTAGTATTGATGTATCATAGATTATGCTATCGAAAATGGCGTATGCCTATTTACGAGTCGTGTTCAACTTTAATTTTGAAACTACAAGGCTGGCCATCAAATGACATATGCTATAAACTGACAAGCAGTTCTCCTGTCTTATTCCCAAAGGAAACAGATAAGAGCTGCTTGATCAGAGATGCTCTACAGAAATGACTGAGACAGCTAGCCTTCTTACATTGAACTCATTAATCTTTAACTGGATGCTTGTCCACTCATTACTCCCAAGGGATGAATGGATCAGAACTATCTACCATAAAACATTTTTTTTTAAAATACTGCATCATAATTTTTTTTTAGATTTAATGTCAGACAGGTTTTAATCTGCAATTCATATAGACAAATGGACATGCTAATTCCAACCCCACTCAAATAAAATGAGTTTTAAAAATATTATATATAATATCAGATTAGTTTACTATGCAATATCAAATTAGTTTTAATTACTCTTCATCAAATTCATTTTAAACCTTGGGCTAGCCAACAAGAACTATCTTTAATTCAACAGGCTGACACCCATTTGCCCAATTCCAAAGGGATATAGATAACACCTGCTTGATCAGAGATGCTCTACCAGTTACCTCCTCACACTAAACTCATTAAGTTCTCTCTGATTTGACAAGCAATTTTCTGTTATCAAAATTCTTCTTGACCAGCGCTTTATAATTATACCTATGGGAGAGATGGAATTTCTCTTATAACATACATTACATTAAATTTTGTTACTGTTATAGATTGCTGTAAAGTATACAGCTCTGCATACTTTTTAAACTCACATGGTTTTACGCACAAATAAAGGTCATATGTTTCCAAAAATATTTTATAGCATAATAGCAAAACAACAAGGTAATGCACATAAACTGTATTTGATATCCTTTGTCAAGGTAACACACCCCTTAAAAAACTGAATGATTTTTTTAAAAGACTCTCTTAAAAGATTTTAAGCAAAAAAACAAGAGGCCTATGGGCCACATCACTCACCTGAGCACTAAGGGTAGGAAAAAGTAGAAAATGGCTTTTTATTGTAAAGTTTAAATCCAAAAGTAGTCCCATGACCAATCATGGATTTGCTATTTTTTAGAAAATGATTTTTAAAGAATTTTCCTATACATATCTTTAAAAAATTTGGTCGGCCATTTTGGCCCCGCCCTACCCCCGGGGGTCATGATTTGAACAAATTTGAATCTACACTACCTGAACATGTTTCCATATAAATATGATGAATTATGGCTTTGTCATTCTTGAGAAGATTTTTAAAGAATTTTCCTATATATTTTTATGTAAAAGTTTGGTCAGCCATTTTGGCCCCGCCCTACCCCCGGGGGTCATGATTTGAACAAATTTGAATCTACACTACCTGAACATGCTTCCATATAAATATGATGAATTATGGTTTTGTCATTCTTGAGAAGAAGATTTTTAAAGAATTTTCCTATATATTTCTATGTAAAACTTTGGTTGGCCATTTTGGCCCCGCCCTTCCCCCGGGGGTCATGATTTGAACAAACTTGAATCTACACTACCTCAGCATGCTTCCATATAAATATGATGAATTATGGCTTTGTCATTCTTGGGAAGAAGATTTTTAAAGAATTTTCCTATATATTTCTATGTAAAACTTTGGTTGGCCATTTTGGCCCCGCCCTATCCCCGGGGGTCATGATTTGAACAAACTTGAATCTACACTACCTAAGCATGCTCCCATATAAATATGATGAATTATGGCTTTGTCATTCTTGAGAAGAAGATGTTTAAAGAATTTTCCTATATACTTCTATGTAAAACTTTGGTCGGCCATTTTAGCCCCGTTCTACCCCCGGGGGTCATGATTTGAACAAATTTGAATCTACACTACCTGAACATGTTTCCATATAAATATGATGAATTATGGCTTTGTGATTCCTGTTAAGATTTTTAAAGAATTTTCCTATATATTTCTATGTAAAAATTAGGTCGATCAATTTGGCCCCGCCATACCATAGGGGTCATGATTTGATCAAATTTGAATCTAAACTACCTGAAGATGCTTCTATATAAATATGATGAATTATGGCTTTGTCATTCTTGAGAAGAAGATTTTTAAAGAATTTTCCTATATATATCAATGTTAAACTTTGGTCGGCCATTTTAGCCCCGTTCTACCCCCGGGGGTCATGATTTGAACAAATTTGAATCTACACTACCTGAACATGTTTCCATATAAATATGATGAATTATGGCTTTGTCATTCTTGAGAAGATTTTTAAAGAATTTTCCTATATATTTTCATGTAAAAGTTTGGTCAGCCATTTTGGCCCCGCCCTACCCCAGGGGGTCATGATTTGAACAAACTTGAATCTACACTACCTGAACATGCTTCCATATAAATATGATGAATTATGGCTTTGTCATTCTTGAGAAGAAGATTTTTAAAGAATTTTCCTATATATTTCTATGTAAAACTTTGGTCGGCCATTTTGGCCCCGCCCTACCCCCGGGGGTCATGATTTGAACAAACTTGAATCTACACTACCTGAGCATGCTTCCATATAAATATGATGAATTATGGCTTTGTCATTCTTGGGAAGAAGATTTTTAAAGAATTTTCCTATATATTTCTATGTAAAACTTTGGTCGGCCATTTTGGCCCCGCCCTATCCCCGGGGGTCATGATTTGAACAAACTTGAATCTACACTACCTGAACATGTTTCCATATAAATATAATGAATTATGGCTTTGTCATTCTTGAGAAGATTTTTGAAGAATTTTCCTATATATTTTTATGTAAAACTTTGGTCTGCCATTTTGGCCCCGCCCTACCCCCGGGGGTCATGATTTGAACAAACTTGAATCTACACTACCTGAACATGCTTCCATATAAATATGATGAATTATGGCTTTGTCATTCTTGGGAAGAAGATTTTTAAAGAATTTTCCTATATACTTCTATGTAAAACTTTGGTCGGCCATTTTGGCCCCGCCCTACCCCCAGGGGTCATGATTTGAACAAACTTGAATCTACACTACCTGAGGATGTTTCCCCCTAAGTTTCATCTTTCCTGGCACAGTGGTTCTGGAGAAGAAGATTTTTAAAATATGCCACCAAATTTTCATTAATTCCCAACTATCTCCCCTTGAATGAGGGCGTGGCCCTTCATTTGAACAAACTTTAATCCCCTTCACCCAAGGATACTTTGTGGCAAGTTTGGTTGAAATTGGCCCAGCGGTTCTTGAGAAGAAGTCGAAAATGTGAAAAGTTTACAGACAGACAGACAGACGGACGCCAGACAAAATGTGATCAGAAAAGCTCACTTGAGCCTTCGGCTCAGGTGAGCAAAAAAATGATGCAAAAATTATAATGATTCTTCAATATCATTTTAAAAATTCATTTACTATAGTTTTTGCAGTAGTATGTGGTATGTATGTAATATTTAATTCAATTCTTAAACATTAATATTTTTCAATGAACTTTGATTATATATCATTTTCCTCTCGGTTTCATTGGGATCTAGTGACAAAAAAGGATAAGCTGCACATGGAAACCATGCAAAAAGGTAAGATTATTTATTATTTCTTTTTAAAAAAAAAACATGTTATTGTTACTATTGAAAAGATTTTTTCCTACATTTTTGGACTTTGTTATTTTGAGTAAGACAAATCTCTCTTGATGCTAGACTTCAGATCATTACTTTGAGAAATGCAAAATTAACATGGAAAGAAGTAGAACAATAGATAACAGCTGAGATACTGCATCTCCATCTCACACTACGGCCTCATGTGACGGTATAAGTTACATGGCACATTGCATGACTTGCCTAGACAAGGGAGAAAAAGCAAAGTCACCCACAGACAAGAAAGAGTGATAAAGAACCTAGCGTTGCAAGATAGGAGATTTACAAAAAGAGAGCTGAAAACAAAGATTGTAACCAGGATATCCTTAAGTGAAATGACTCTAAGAAAGAACAAGAGGCCCATGAGCCTTATAGGTCACCTGAGTATCCCATAAAAACTTTACAACAATTGAATTTGATTCATGTTTTAAACCTGAGGCCATGAAATTCACAATTTCGAAAGAGGCACTATTGCTTATCATAATTGTACACTTAGAATGCTTACTTTGGTTACTTAATACCCAGAGGTAAATCAAAGTAACAAAGAGAAAATGCATTTCCACTTTGTAACCAGTTGTGCACTCTATCCCACAGGAACCACAGACCCTGGGCTTATATACTGTACAGGGGGAAAATAACTCGCGGTGTTAATATTCGCTATATTCACGGTGTGAACAAATCCGTGAATTCAAGAAACAGTGAATAAATTGTCAATAATCTCCATGTTTTATTTGGAAAATTGAGAATAGACTACGATAGATTTATATAGGTGTTCGTGCAGTCCGTGGTCATTTCAGTAATTGCGAGTAGTACTGTCATTCAATTAATTTTAATTATCACGCTTTACTTTAATTCAAATCGGCAGATAATAATTTGTGTTTTTCAGAAGCTGTTTTAATAGCTAACGCTACATGTTTCATCAATCAAAACACGTGAGCCATGGATTTTGATTACCCGTGCGTAACTTATGTTACCACGTGTATTTGTTACCTGCATTCTCATGCATATTAGTTCATGTAGTTTTTATCGACATTTTGGTTTTTAAAAATCGTTCAAATACATATCGAACTTACTGACGAAGGAAGTGTGGAGGGATATTATTTTGTAGAACTACATAAAAAGTTTTATTTCTGTCCAGTAGTTTTTCGCTGCGTTGTATTGAAGATCTCGGGTGCACATGCACTCATCTTAATAGCATATAGGAAAGTCATTTAACGTTTAGGGACTATTTATAACTGCACTTGTGTTAATTAATTATTTATAAAATCTAACAATTTTATAATAACTTACCCTGTTATTCGTGAAATAAAGACATAACGCTTATTAATATCGTTTACCTGTAGCTATGGTATGGATTAAATGGAGACAAGGGAAGTAACTTTTATTATTACATACCAAATTCCGCGAATTCAAGAAACCGCGATCGTGTCAGATGAGAGAAAAACGTGAAAATTACAACCCGTGAAATTAATCCCCTATACAGTATTTCAAAATTTTGGAAATTTTAATATCATGAATTTTATTTCATCATAAATTGTTGATTAATACCAAATTTCAAAGCATTAATATATTTTCAGACTATGTACCCCCCTCCATATACCTCTGACCCAGGGGCCCAGAAATTAACCGTTTTGGAAAAGGCAGCTTTCTTCATCATAATATGTACTTAGATGATTGGCATAATACCCAGGAGCAAAGGAAAAGATTTTCAAAGAATTCATGCATTTTCATTATATAAACATTAGAGCCCCACCCTAACACAAGAAGCCCTAACCCAGGGACCCTGAAATTCATAAATCTCAAGGAGGCATCCTTCCTCCTCATAACTATGTACATAGAAAAGAAGATTTTCAAAGAAATAATTCATTTTCACCATGTAATCTTTATAGCCCCGCCCTAGCACTAGAACCCCTGACCCTGGGCCCATGAAATTCACAATTTTGGAAGAGGCAGCCTTACTCAACATACATATGCACTTGGTTAATTTATTAATGCCCATGAGCAGAAAAGAAAATTTTCAAAGAAATAATTCATTTTCACTATATAATATCTTTATAGCTTCGCCGTAGCACTAGAACCCCTGCCCTGGGGCCATGAAATTCACAATTTCGGAAGAGGAAGTATTATTAAACATAACTATGCACTTGGTTAGTTTATTTAATGCCCATGAACAGAGAAGAAGAATTTCAGAGAATTTATGCATTTTCACTATATAATCTATATAGCCCTTCCCTAGCACTAGAACCCATGACCCTGGGCCCATGAGATTCACAATTTGGAAGAGCCAGTTTGACTGCTTAATGTCCAGGAGTAAAGGAGAAGATTTTTTAAAGATTACAATAATTTTAGTGGTTTTGGCCCCACCCCCCAGACCCCAGGGGGGCAGGGACCAGGAAATTCACAATTTATGTTCCCCTTCACCAATAAATGCTGTATACCAAATTTGGTTGAAATTGGTTCAGTGGTTTCAGAGAAGAAGCTGAAAATGTTCAAACGTTAATGCACAATGCACGGTGATGGATGAAAATGAATATCAATTGGTCACTTAGGTGACCTAAAAAGTTAAACAAGTATGAAATTGAGAGCTACATTCCTGCTAAAAAGCCATAAATTTAGAAAGAACAGAAACAAAGATGTTTGCAAACGACAAGACATCACAAACACATGATGAAGAAAGATTGGGAAAGTGATGTGTTTTCAGATGAAAGTTTGTTCAAATCTTACTTTACAATGACAGGAAAAATAGGTTGAGTTTGCATGGAGAAGAAAAGCTGAAAAGGATGATTCAAAATGCCTACAGTTACTGTGAAACATCCATATATCCAAATTTCATGCTGGGGAGTTTTTGGAGCAAACGGAGTTGGGGTTTTGAAAAAATATGAGGGAAACAATTTCATAAAAGCTGTAATGTTTTAAAGTTTATATCAACATGAGTTGGATCATATAGCAATAATAATTACCCAAGCCTTCATTTTCATATAACATTAAACTGTCATCCTCACACATGAGAAAGTAAACCTTACTTGCTCTAACATCTTCAATATCTTCTTTGTTAAGTGTTTGGCAATGTTTTGTTCTCCTCTGGACCAGAAAAGTTTTGCTTCTTCAGTCAGTTTATCAACTTGCATTTGGAAATCTGAGGCTTCACAAGATTTCAATTTACTGACAACTCCTTCAGCAACCTAAAATGTAAACCTCAACATGAGCAGAGCCTAAAACATACCAGTAGACCTCAACATTAACAGCCACTCAAGTTTATAACTTGACACAAGCAGAGTCTAAAACATAATCCCAAATAAAAGCAAAATCTAGAATATAAACCCCAAGATAGGCAGAGCCTAAGATACGAGGGGTGATCAAAAAGTTCGCGAACTAGTTCAATATTTACAAAACCATAATTCAGATCAGAATGAAATTTGGCACACATAAAGTCATACACATGTTCTATTAATAGCATATGTAATGATTCAGAAATGTTTTGCCCCATGTTTGTGATGTCACAATGTGCAGATGATGTCAATATGAAGAACACTTGTGACAAAAAATGATTGACTGTGTAGAAGTATTTAATAATTTGTATGGAGTTTATGTAGACAAAAGGCTTGCCAGATGTTTTGTCATGAATTGGATTGATTGTTTTAGTGAAGGAAAGGGAAATGTTTAAAATGGATATTTGTTCTGTTGCCCAGTGAAAGCAAGCTGTGGAAGAGATGTGCTATTTGTTTAGCAATTTGATATAAAAGATCGCCAACTTACAGTTAGAAAATCAGTTGAATATCTTAATTAACACTAAGATAATTATTAAATCCCTAAAGTATCTTTACTGTAGACTTAAAACAAGTAATAACAAGCTAATTCAGAGAATTTGTGTCCCCCGCTTATGGAAAAAGTAAACCATACGCAGTTCGGGAAGGGGGGGGGGGGTGTCGGATCCCCTTGACTGAATTTGTAGAATTATTAAATGTATACATGTATACATGTATACTGAAGCAAATAAAGTATGCCAATATGGATATAAAGGTTTGATTGCTTATTCTTTATTATGTGTATAGAAGATTCTTTTTATATGGAATATTTATCACACTGTAATGATAATTTTATGAGTTTGTACAAGCCAGACCTAATAAATTTTTCTTTTCACATGCATAATACTATCATTTAGTAAAAAAAATGTATTTTTAAAAAAAATGGATCGTTCGGGATGCGAACCTGAGACCTCTTACAAGTGAAGAGAGAGACATACCACTAGACCATGGAGCCTCTTTAATCTAGCGAGAATGATATGCAAATATGAAGTCACATAGATGTACATATTAACGTTCGATATTGTCAGAATCTTACACAATGCATGGTGTCTTATTAAAGTTTATAAAACAGTTCTAATATATGTAATAAAAATATTAAGTCCATCAAGAACCTGTTTAATACGTAATGACTCTCCTCATGCCCCTGTGCTAAAAATAGCGACATGTAATACAATAAATACTAATAAAACAAACAGGGCGGGACACTTTGAGAGGGGAGAGAGAGGTCCTAGGGAGTTTTGATATAAAATTACATTGCATAAGCTCAAAATCTTCTTGAAATATCGCCCGGAAATGATAGTGTTTCATACAGACAGAATGTATAAATTTACAACCTAGAACTTTGACCTTTTGACCTCAAAATCAATAGGGGTCTTCATTAGGCCACAGGGAGTTGTTATGTAAAATTTCATTGCAAAAGCTAAACAGGTTTTCGAGATATCGCGCAGAAAGGAAAGTGTTATAACAGAGAGAATTTGCGAATTTATGACCTTGACCTTTGACCTTTTGCCCTCAAAATCAATAGGGGTCTTCTTTAGTCGATAGGGAGTTGCTATGCAAAATTTCATTGCAAAAGCTCAAAGGGTTCTCGAGATATCGTGTGGAAACGAAAGCGTTACGAGACAGAAAGACGGACGGACCCAAATTAATATCCCCCACTTTTCAAGCGGGGGACAAAAAAAAGTACTTCGAAAAAAAAAATTGATTGCCCAAGATGCGAACCCGGGCCCTCTCACATGTGAAGCGGGAGATATACCACTAGACCATGGAGCCGCTTTAAACTTGCGAAAATTATATGGAAAGATGAAGTCACATACATGTATATATTCACGTTTGATGTTGTCAAAATTTTACACAATGCATGATATCTAATTTAACCTGTATTAAACAGTTCTAAGTGATGTAATAAGAATATAAAGTCCACCGAGAACCTGTTTTATACGTAATAACTCTCCTCATGCCCCTGTGCTAAAAATAGCGACATGTAATACAACAAATACCAATAAAACAAACGGATGGGGACACTTTGAGAGGGGTGAAAGAGGTCCTAGGGAGTTTTGGTTTAAATTACATTGCAAAAGCTCAAAATCTTCTTGAAATATCGCCCGGAAATGATAGTGCAACAAACAGACAGAATATATAAATTTACGACCTTGAACTTTGACCTTTTGATCTCAAAATCAATAGGGGTCTTCCTTAGGCCACAGGGAGTTGTTAAGTAAAATTTCATTGCAAAAGTTCAAAGAGTTCTCGAGATATCGCACGGAAACGAAAGTGTTATAAAAGACAGAATTTGCTTATTTATGACCTTGACCTTTGACCTTTTGACCTCAAAATCAATAGGGTTCTTTTTTCATCCATAGGGAGATGCTATGCCAAATTTAATTGCGAAAGCTCAAAGGGTTCTCGAGATATCGTGTGGAAACGAAAGCGTTACAGACAGACAGAAAGACGGACAGACAGCTAGACGGACGGACAGATAGACCAAAATTAATATCCCCCACTTTTCAAGCGGGGGACAAAAAACGGGGCGGGACACTTTCAGTTTGAGAGGGGAGAGACAGGCACTGGGAATTTTTGGTATGAAAATATTTTTGTCCCCCGCTTGAAAAGTGGGGGATATTAATTTGGGTTTGTCCGTCCGTCCGTCTTTCTATCTGTCTGTAATGCTTTCATTTCCACACGATATCTCGAGAACCCTTTAAGCTTTTGCAATGAAATTTAGCACAGCAAATTCCTATGGACTACAAAAGACCCCTGTTGATTTTGAGGTCAAAAGGTCAAAGGTCAAGGTCATAAATAAGCAAATTCTGTCTGTTATAACACTTTCGTTTCCGCGCGATATCTCGAGAATCCGTTGAGCTTTCGAAATTAAGTTTTACATAACAACTCCCTGTGGCCTAATGAAGACCCCTGTTGATTTGAGGTCAAAAGGTCAAAGTTCAAGGTCGTAAATTTATACATTCTGTCTGTATGAAACACTATCATTTCTGGGCGATATTTCAAGAAGATTTTGAGCTTATGCAATGTAATTTTATACCAAAACTCCCTAGGACCTCTCTCACCCCTCTCAAAGTGCCCCGCCCCTTTTGTTTTATTAGTATTTATAGTATTACATGTCGCTATTTTTAACACAGGGGCATGAGGAGAGTTATTACGTATAAAACAGGTTCTCGGCGGACTTTATATTCTTATTACATCTATTAGAACTGTTAAGTTTAATAAAGGCTAAATAAATCAAACACCATGGATTGTGTAAAATTTTGAGAATACCGAACATGAATACATACATGTATGTGACTTAAGTTCTGCATAGACTTGATTCTATATGAAGCGATTCCATGGTCTAGTGGTATGTCTCTCGATTCACATGTGAGAGGTCCCGGGATTGAATTTTGCCGGGAATCCAGAATTTTTTTTCTTTTTTTTAAAAAATACTTTTTTTCTTTTTTTTTTTTTTTTTTAATAAATGATAGTATTAAGCATGTGAAATGAAAAATTTATGAGGTTATAAAATCATCATTACAGTGTGATAAATATTCCATATTAAAATAATCTTCTATACACATAATAAAGAATAAGCAATCAAATCCTTATATGCATATTGACATACATGTATTTTATTTGCTTAAATATACATGTATACATTTAATAATTCTACAAATTCAGTCAGGGGGATCCAACTTTTTCCCTAAGTTGGGGACAAAATTGTCTGAATTAGCTTGTTGGTTTAAAAATATATTCATTGCAAAAGCCCGAAATCTTCTTGAAATATCGCCCGAAAACGATAGTGTTACACAACAAGAGGCCCAAGGGCCTTGAATCGCTCTTCTGATAAATTATACAATCTATCCTAAACCTAAGATGCAACAACTGACAAAGTTTGATGATTCTTAGCCAGTTAGGGCTGAAGATATTTAAATGTAACAATAAAATACTATAAGTAGGTCATGGTGACCTATTTTTGATTGAAATTTTCTGAGGACACACGATGCATTCATTGACAAAGTTTGATGATTCTATGCCAATAAGTACTTGAGATATTCAAAAGTGGGTCACAGTGACCTACTTATTGGTCAACATACTCCGAAAACCCAAGGCGCATCAACTGATAAAGTTTGACAATTCTAAGCCAATAAGTACCCTAGAATACTTAAATATAGCCATTAATGTCACAAGAAGGTCACCGTGACCTATTTTTTGATCATCATTCTCCGAGAACCCAAAATGCATCAAATAACAAAGTTTGATGATTCTAAACCAATAAGTACCCGAAATACCTAAATATAGCCATAAAATGTCAAAAATAGGTCACCTTGACCTACTTTTTGGTCGACATTCTCCGAAAACCCAAGATGCATCTACTGACAAAGTTTGATGATTCTAAGCCAATCGGTAACTTAGATATTCAAAAGTAGGTCACCATGTCCTACTTTTTGGACAACATGCTCCGAAAACCTAAGATGCATCAAATAACAAAGTTTGATGATTCTAAACCAAATAGTACCTGAGATATATAAAACTATCCATAAAATGTCAAAAGTAGGTCACTGTGACCTACTTTTTGGTTGGAATTCTCTGAAAACCCAAGATGCATCTACTGACAAAGTTTGATGATTCTAAGCCAATAAGTACCTGAGATATTTATATATAGCCATAAAAAAAAGTAGGTCATCGTGACCTACTTTTTAATCGTTAATCTCCAAAAACCCACGATGCATCAACTGACAAATTTTGATGATTCTAAGCCAATTAGTACCCGAGATACTTAAATCTAGCCATAAAATGTCGAAAGTAGGTCACAGTGACCTACTTTTTGGTCGACATTTTCTGAAGACCAAAGATGCATCAATTGACAAAATTTGATGATCATAGGTCTAATAGTATTGACAGTATGCCTTTTAAGCAATTTGAAAACAAATGCTTGCAGACATCAAAAAGTAGGTCACAGTGACCTACTTTTTCATAAATATGTTTTAAGTCATCTAGTTGCATCAACTAACAAGATTCGGTGATTCTAAGCCTCTCCGTGTCTGAAATAATGGGATTAAATGTTTTAGAGAAGATTAGTCATAAAATTCAAAAAGTAGGTCACGATGGCCTACTTTTAAGTTGATGTTATTTGTGGACCCAAGATGCACCAACTGACAAAGTTTTATGATCATAGGCCTTAAAGTGTCCAAAATATGCCTCCAAATCAATTTGAAAACAAAAGCCCGTAAAATTAAAAAAGTAGGTCACCGTGACCTACTTTTGTATTAACATGATGTCAAGTCCTGAGATGCATCAACTTACAAGATTTGATGATCCTTGTCTTTATAGTAAGCAAAATATACAAGTTTTTAATAAGTGTAAATTTTGGTCAACTTTGAACTGACCTTGTATCTCGCCCAGGGTCAAACCCAGGGTCATGCCTTGGATAATTTTTAATTTTCAACATATCCCAACCCTTGTATGTAAGTTTGGTGAAAATCTGCCCGGTGGTTCTGGAGAAGAAGATTTTTTAGCAACCAGTACTTTTGGTTTTATAAGGCTGATTATCTCCCCTTGTTTTAGGGTCCCAGCCCTAGTTTTAGTATAAATGGTAGCCCTTGGCCCAAGGATACCCTGTGACAAATTTGACAATAATTGGCCATGGGGTTCTTGAGTTATGGCCAATTTTCTAAAAAGTTACCGCACACCGCACGACGCACACCGCACAGATGGCCATAGCATTAGTTCTTTGAGCCTTTGGCTCAGAAGAGCTAAAAACAGAATGTATAAATTAACGACCTTGAACTTTGACCTTTTGACCTAAAAATCAATAGGGGTCTTCCATGGGCCACAGAGAGTTGTTATGTAAAACTTAATTTCGAAGCTCAGCAGATTCTCGAGATATCGTGCGGAAACGAAAGTGTTATAACAGACAGAATTTGCAAATTTATGACCTTGATCTTTGTACCTTTTGAACTCAAAATCAATAGGGGTCTTCTCTAGTCCATAGGAAGATGCTATGCCAAATTTAATTGCTAAAGCTCAAAGGGTTCTTAATATATCGTGTGGAAACAAAAGTGTTACTGTACAGACAGAAAGACAGACGGACGGACGGACAAACCCAAATTAATATCCCCTACTTTTCAAGCGGGGGACAAAAAAGAAGGCACCCCTACTATATTCACATTGAATAAACGACCCTCCAAAGACAGAGGATTTGAGTTTTGATGGTCACCATGCTCATTCTGGAAAAGGATATCAACTAGAGCAAAGCTCTTTGCAACAAGTAGGTCTTCCGTCCTGTTTGACCGGAAGTAACTTTTATTTGAAAAAAAAGAGAAATGACATCTCTAATGATTTAAATCTTACAAATCTATGTTGAAAATTGCAAAAGTAAGCCATTTTTTGCTACTTCCTGTTTGACCGGAAGTGACGTCGACAGACGGAAAATAAAGTTTTATGCTTCCAGTGACAATTTCCCCAAAACATGTCAAAAATGGCAAAAATATGCAGTTTGGGACTACTGCCAGTTCGGCCGGAAGTGACGTCACAGGACGTATTTTGATGACATCAGTAGATTTTACCAGAGATTTTCAACAACTTTGCTTTTTTGATGTATAACAAATTCTCAATACCTTTTGAGATATCTGGAAAAAAATTTTGGCCCCTCTAGATCCCTTAATTAAGGGGTCAATTAAATGTTCTTATAACATTTGTAAGATTTCTAATTCTGCACAAAATGTTCTATATATTTTAACAAAATATTTTTAGTTTAGAAGATAGAAGACAAAATATGAGTAATTTTTTGCTCTTTTAAGCGTTCTAATTTTTTGACCCCTAATATGGAGCCATTTTGATTAGAGCCTAAATCGAAAAACAAAAACCAATGTGCACAACTTCAATTCTTCTATTATCTAAAATCAGTAGAATTTCTGCTCCAGCTTTAGCCTTTGTCTGGAAACGAAAGCCTATAAATTTTCGTTTAAAGGGAAATAACTTAAAAGCGGAAGTGACTTTTTGAAATTTTAGACAGCATTCTGATAGAGTTTTGTAACTTCTAGTATCTCTGAAAATTTGAGCGAAATCAATTGAGAAATGAATGAGATATGAGGCTTCAAAGTTGGCGATACTAGGAAGTGGAAGAAAAAAAAAAGAATAATAATCTTTACCAACAGAATTATGTACACTAGGTCTTCCGTTGGAAATGGAAGACCTTAATTTGCCATTATCCACCCATACTATTGCCAAGTATTTTGGCCATTTCTGAAAAATGGACTGTTTTTGTTATAAATAATAACTTGCATGGTAAGAAATATCAGAGTCTGAAAAAACTTGAAGCTTCTGTGGCAGAACGGTACAGTGCATTTCATGTGACCGCCTATATCACGTGATCAGTGCATGGGCAGAACAGCTGCAGATGCATGTTAAAATCGGAGAGGACTACTATTGAAAAAATTTCAACATTAAAATTATATCATTTTTTTTTTCAAAGTTATTCAATTAGTTCACAAACTTTTTGATACCCATTGTATAATCCCCAACATGAGCAGACCATAAAATATAAATCTCAACATATAAAGCAGAGACTAAAATATAAATGTCAACATGAGCAGAGCCTACAATACAAAACAAAAATAAAGACCATGCAGAATGTAACCTAAAATTTAAATCTCTAATAACAGTAACCAAAGCCTCATAGGGAACTTCTACATCTATACAGGTACAAGAGGCCCATGGGCCTTAAGGTCACCTGAGGATCATGTAACAACTTTCCAGAAATTGAATTTAGTTCTGTTTGAAAAAGAGGCCATGACATTCATAAGTTTGAAAGAGGCACCATTCCTCATCATTACTATACACTTAGAAACTTAGAGAGTACAATAAATTTATACCCATAGGCAGAGTGCGAGAACACAAAACTAGAGGCACATGGGCAACATTGATCACCTGAGCACAAGGGCTAGGAAAAAGCACAAATCAGTTCACTATTAAACCAGAAGTATCAATGTCGAGACTGAAGCTCTACTGGTTTGTTCTTATAGAAATGGAAGGGAAAAGTTCTTAAGCTGTTGGGAATTAAAACTTTACCACAGTATAAAAAGAATAATGATCCTTGATTAAGTCTTTTTATGTTCTTAGTATAGTCTGCTTGCATGCCATATTATATTATAATCAGATTTAAACTGCAGGAGGAGTAGCATTTTGAGATTCTTTTAACAGAAATTTCTATTTTTAGTTACCATGGCAACACTGTTCATCGAAATCAAAAACCGATATATAGAATTATGTATCTTAGCGTAGTCTACTTGATGTGCCAAGTTATATTGACATCAGACCTTAAAACATGTAGGAGGAGTAGCATTTTTAAAGAATTTCACAGAAATTTCTATTTTTAGTGACAACGGCAACACCGTTCATCGAAATCAAAAACTGATGTTACAGAGCTATGTATCTTACAGTAGTCTACTTGTATGCCAAGTTATATTGAAATCAGACCAAAACTGATAGCAAATAAAGTTTTAAAGAATTTCACAGAAATTTCTATTTTTAGCCAACAACGGCAACACCGTTCATCGAAATCAAAAATCGATATGACAGAATTTTTGTACAAATATTATTTTTTATTTTGGGTCTACTTGTGTGAATATAAAGTACATATATATTGAAATCAGACCAAAAATGATAGATATCATTTGCATACCACAGTAGTATTTTGAAAGAATTTTACAGAAATTTCTATTTTTATTAACCACGGCAACACCGTTCATCGAAATCAAAAACCGATACACAGAATTATTTATCTTAGTGTGGTCTACTTGTGTGCCAAGTTATATTGAAATCAAACCAAAAATGAAAAAGGAGTAATTTGATGAAAGAATTTCACAGAAATTTCTTTTTTAGTAAGTTTAACGGCAACACCGTTCAGTCATGTTTAAATTATCGAAATACAAATTAAAAATCAAAAACTTTGTGCTGTTATCATTGAAATCACATTTAAAATGAAATTAAATTTTGTATGAATTCAATAACAGAAAGAAATATATTTTATGTGAGTCACAAAACACCTTTCTTTGAAATCAAAAACCGATATATAGTAATTTAAAGATATAGCTGCATGTAGTCTACTTATGTGCCAAGTTATATTGAAATCAGACCAAAACTGTAGGAGGAGTAGCATTTTGAAAGAATTTCACAGAAATTTCTATTTTTGCAACAACGGCAACACCGTTATCGAAATCAGAAACCGATACACAGAATTATGTATCTTAGTGTAGTCTACTTGTGTGCCAAGTTATATTGAAATCAGTGCCAAAACTGTTGGAGGAGTAGCGTTTTGAAAGATTGTTTACAGACAGACAGACCTCCTTGTAGAAAACCACTAGCTCAGACCCCCCAACAGACGGACGTACCAGGACGCATTACTATCGCATAACCCCTGGTACATATGACCAGTCAAGCTAAAAATTTGCTTGGGGGAGATTTAAATTTTATACTATAAATTGAGGATGCATCAGTTTCAAAGTCTTGTGTGTTTGGTTAATATTGACAATTTAGGATTTCCTTTGCCCAGGGATGCTTTGTATCAATTTTTTGTTTAAAATTACCTAATTTGCATTTGTAAAAAATAGAAAATGTGAAAAGTTTACAAATTGGGCCTTACAGCTTGTACAGACATATAAACTGTTGGGTAGATCTGCATGGATGATGGACAATGGGTGATCAGAAAAGATTGAGCTTTCACCTCAGGTGAGCTAAATAAGACAACATACAAGGTATCTCCTATTCTGTATTGCAAGTCTTGTTAGGCATAGTAAACTTCTGCATGCAGACTTGTACTGCATCTGTTTGGATGGGTAGCACCTGGAGTACCGAGAGTACTTGATTAAGTGTAGATCAAACTCATTAAAGGAGGGCCTCTCTTGTGTCCACTTTGTCAGCATATTATCAAATTAATTCTTGGCTGTAAATACAAATTATAGAATGGCTTTTTACAATCTTCAGAGATTTGTAATGCAGATAAAATGGTCGCATTTGTGACCAAAAAATGGGACTGGACACCTATTCTCCATTAATCTGTCCAATTAACAAAAGAAAGTATGGGAGCCAATGCTCATCTAGCAATGCCCAACTTTATCATGTTTATATATACAAGATTTCTATTCAAGACAAAGTTTACGGATAAACAGTAAGTACTGATATCTGATTTGAACAAAAATCATATGGACCATATATGTAAGGCGACAAAGAATGTGCTAAAATTTCAAGCATCTGCAACTCTTAAAATTTGCATTTCAAAAAAAAGCTAAAAAATTTATTTTTGGTATGGACAGACACGCGGATAAACAGGAACTTGACATTGAATTTTAAAAAATTGTAAACACATGTGGAATGCCTTAGCAAAGAAGGTGAGCTGTCAAATTTTTAGCATCCGTGATTAGTAGTTGCTGAAAAACTGCATGTCTCAAAAATTTTTGTGTTGCTGATATATACAGATGCACAGATAAACAAGTTTTTGACATCAGATTTGAACAAAAATGGATCCCACCATATGGCTAGCCTCAGCAAAGTATGGCTGCTGTAAAATTTACCGGTAGCATCTGCTGAGTAGCTGCTGATAACAGGTAATAATCAAATTTGTTATGTATGGTACAGACAGATAGAGGCAGTGTACGAAATTCTCATTATCCGCATAAAAAGTGTACTAAAGACGGGAGATACCAGATGTGGAAATTTTACTGTGCATCAGCCCGCTTGGACGCACTAATTTTACCCTATTCCCTCCCATATTTTGCAGATAAATGGTTTATAAGGTAAAGATCAAATTTTCAATATACATGCATAAATAATACGGTGACCAGGAAAGACATAAACTAAAATAAAATTAATAAATTGTAAAGATATATGAAAGCAAGTACATTTTAATCTAATTTCCTCTGTTTTCACGCATGAAACGATATCTGCGTATTTTGAGATTCAGTGACTTAAAAAATCCTACAGGATCAACACAGTATATAAAAGCCCTTGAAACTGCAGAGCAACTTGAAAGTACCTGTAGAAGACTTCTTTGAATAATTCATATGTCTATATTAGACAAATTAAGCTAGTGTATTTCAAAATATGAACTTTAGCCAAGGTAACATGGTGAGCTTTATTCAATGCTTTGTTATAACTACTTTGTTTTAATTAAATTAAGAATGCAGGATCTAAGAATCCATCTAATTCATTCTCAATATTTTTACCCATTTAATAATTTAAAAAAAAGTTTTAATATAGAAATAACACATTCATTTTTTTTTAAAATATAAGTTTAATGGCAAATAAAATCCAGGAAACAGTTCTCTTGCTCCTTATAATGAGAATTATAATTGTTCTTTCTTTTTAGTTAAAATAAAGCAGACTTGTTCTTCAGAATATTAGTGTTCTGTTAATATACCAGTATATATAAACATTGATATTACCCTGAATATTTTTATAAATGTACATTCAAAAAAATTGAAAAAAAAACGACAATGATTTTTTCCTAAATCCATATTGAAAGTGAACAATTAATGAAATTTTAAGTTGTCATTTTTATAAATAACAACATGTGTACCAAATTCCAGTGGATGTGTATTAATATTAAAAAAACATATCTTGTAAGTTGCGTATCCTGAAGTTGTTTTGTTTTATACTACAGTGAAATGTGTGACTTTTTAGCAGGGCTGACAGATTCGTTGAAGTAGTCAGCCCTGCTGGTCCACCTGAATTTTTTCCGAGTTTCGTACACTGATAAAGGCACCTTTTTTCATCATAAATATATATACTTAGATCATTGGCAAATACCCAGGTGCAAAGAAAAAGATTTTCAAAGAATTAAAGTATTTTCACTATATAACCAGAAAACGCACTTACACAAAATGGGTAAACCCCTGATACAGGGCCATAAAATTTACAAATCAGGTTGAGGCACTCTTGCTCATTATAACCATATACTAATTTAGTTTATTTGATATCCAGGAGCAGAGAGGAAGATTTTCAAAGAGTTAATGTTTTTTTCACTATATAATCAAACAGGTAAACATGATAAACAATTGGCAAAGAACCCCTCACACTGGAGCCATAAAATTCACAATTTTGAAAGAGGCACTCTAACTCATTATACCATGTACTTAGTTAGTTTATTTAATCCCCTTCCTTGCAGTAACGCATTTTAACGCATATACAAATATATTTCTAACGCAATATCACGCTTATACCATTTCCCCGCAATCACACATTTTCACGCACTTAAAAAAGTCCATTTAATATTCAATTTATTATCAGATTCCTTCTATTTTATACTTGCTTTTCATCATAAAATAAGAAAAGTTATTTTTTAATTAAAATATTACGTGATAATATTATTTACGCTAAACTTTAGAGAAGCTTGTACCCCGCTATAAAGTGCTTGCGGGGAAATGGTAACATAATATTACTTATTATGACTAAAGCTATATGTTATACCACACCTTTGTTGTAAATGGAGTTAATACCCAGGAGCAGGGCATTACATTCTCAAAAGAATAAATGCATTTTCACTATATAATCAAAAGAAGCACTTCCGCCCTAACACCAGAACCTCTGACCCTGGTGCCATAAACTTCACAATTTTGGAAGAGGCACTCTTGCTCATCATAACTATGTACTTAGTTAGTTTATTTAATACCCAGGAGCAGAGAAGAAGATTTTCAAAGAAATAATGCATTTTCACTATATAATCTATAGAGCCCCGCCCTTATATCAGAACCCATAGCCTCGGGGGCTATAAATCTGGAAATTAGTTGAAAGTACTTATGAATGTATACTTTATAGGTATAATTTCTTCTGCATTAGTGCAAGGCCAAGGAAGCAAAAATTTTTACAGATTTCATTAATTTTGATATCATCTGGCCCCACCCCTCAATCAAGTTTTGACAGCAAGATACAATCTGTCTTACATATATCTGTTTGCCCCTTCACCCACAGATGCAGTATACCAAAATTGGTTGAAATTGGTTCAGTGGTTTGTAAAGCAAAATGTTCAAATGTTAGCAAACGATGCACGACACACAACACATAACGACAGACGAAAAAGGATAAGGATGAGTAATTTGAGTGACACAGGTGAGTTTAAAAACACTGACGTATATGCAAAAATTTCTTTTTTAAGAATGAATTTTAACAAATCAGGTTCTGTATATATGAGTTTTGGTGCTATAGTTGTGGTAGTGACCGCTTACAGATTTTGTTAACCAATTGTCATCGTTGTAGATCTCCTTGCAGGACGGCTACAAATTACCAGCTGTAGATGAGTTGTAGAATGGAAGTTGTAGGCTGTTAGTTGTAGTGGTAGTTGTTGGCTGTTGAGTTGTAGTGGTAGTTGTTACATTTTTAAAAGTTGTAAAAAATGAGTTGTACAGTAGTAATATTTTGCTGTTGTAAACCGCTGTTGAGTTGTCACGGTCAGCAGTGCCAGCTCTGCTGGTTGTTGTATTATATACAGAAAGTCTCGTAGGCTGTTGAATGGAAGTGGTTGTTTTCAGTAAAAATTTAAATTAATGATCATTTTATATTATGCCCTAGCTATAAGGGTTGAGTTGTTGTGGTAGTTGTAGGCTGTTGAGTTTTAGTGGTTGTTGTATGCTGCTGAGTTGTAGTGGTAGTTGCATGCTGCTGAGTTGTAGTGGTTAATTTTGTAACTGTGTATGTACCTTTTTTTTGTCAATGGCTGTCAGATTATGATAGATGTTTGTTGTTTACCTATTGACTTTGCAAAATTTAAAGGTTGTAATCATGTTGAGCCCACGGGCCTTATAGGCTTTTGAGTATTGTGTAACAACTTTCAAACAATTAAATTTGTAGCGGTTGTTGTAGGCCACGAAATTCACAATTCAGTGGTTGTTGTAGGCACCAGTTGCTTCTCATATTTATAGACTGTTGAGCATGGTACTCTATTTACTTAATGGCTGTTGAGGTAGATCAGAGTAACATTAAGAGAAAATGCTGAGTTGTACTTTATGCTGAGTTGTACTGGTAGAGCTGCTGAGGTAGTGGTTGTTGGCTGTTCAAAAGTTTTGCAAATTTTATCATAAAATGGTTGATTAATACCAAAGTAGCAGATTTAGGTATTAATTTATTTTAGTTGTAGGCTGCTGAGTCGTGGTAGTTGTAGGCTGCTGAGTTGTAGTAGTAGTTGTAGGCTGTTGAGTTGTGGTGGTAGTTGTAGGCTGCTGAGTTGTGGTGGTTGTAGTTGGCTGTTGAGTTGTAGTAGTAGTTGTAGGCTGTTGAGTTGTTGTGGTAGTTTTAGGCTGCTGAGTCGTGGTAGTTGTAGGTTGTTGAGTTGTAGTGGTAGTTGTAGGCTGTTGAGTTGTGGTAGTTTCTACAGACTGCTGGGTTGTACTCACACTCACTGTTGTAGTCACAATAAGATTACAGGTCCCGCCATCATTAGCCAGGTTATAACCTTGGTTACAATAACAGAAGTAGCTCCCTTCTGTGTTACTACAGGCCTGGCTACAGTTGTGGTTGTTAGTTGCACACTCATTTACATCTGTGAATAAATCAAATAAAACAGTTGTAAAATAAATTCAACACATTTCAACTGAGATTTCTAGTCAGCTGGTTTTAATTATTTTTATGGCTTTCAAAACAATAAATTTAAAGCATCATTTTAAAACCTTGACATGAGATGCCATCTGACTTCAGCTCAAATCCAGGTCTACAAGAACAGTTGTAGCTTCCTACTGTATTTGTACACAATTGATGACATCTAGCTTGGCCGTTGCTGCATTCATCAACATCTACAAATATGATTTAGACAACTTATTCAAGAAAACATTGAGAATGGAAAAGAAAACAACCCCTCTTTTACTGTACACAAACGAACCTTTTTTCTTCTGTACATTAATGTTTTTTTCTAGGAGCAGAGAAGAAGATTTTCAAAGAATTAATGCACACTATATTATCAATAGGGCCCCGCCCTAACACTAGAACCCCATTTTGGTTACTCTGGGGCCACAAAATTCACATTGAAAAAGGCACTAGCCATCATATCTACACTTATGTTTTTTTAATACCCAGAAGTAGAGAAGAAGATTTTCAAAGAAATCATGCATTTTTAAATATCACACAGTAGAGCCCTGCCCTAACACCAGAGACAGTGACAGCCTGGGTCATAAAATTGATAGGGAGGCACTCCACCCCACAGTTACAGGGGGTGGTTAGTTTATTTAATACCCAGGTGTTGGTGAAGATTTTCAAAGAAAAACACTAGATTCTATTAGCACTGACACATCTGACAGCAATACATGTTTGCATACTTATGAATTTCACAATTTTGGTAAATACTCAATGTCATTACATCTCTACAACAGTTTGCCTGCTTGATGTCCAAAGTACATGTTTATAGTAAATTTTTAAAGACTGCAATAATTTTGGTGGTTTTGGCCCCACCCCTCAGGCCCCAGGGGCGGGGACCATAAAATTCATAATTTTTGTTCCCCTTCACCCAGAGATGCTGTATACCAAATTTGGTTGAAATTGGTTCAGCGGTTTCAGAGAAGAAACTGAAAATGTTCAAATGTTAACACACAGACGCACGACACATGATACACGACGACGGACGAAAACATTAACATTGGTATCTACAACATCAGGTGACTAAAAACTTTAACTTCAACATTGATATTTACAACAAAAGATAAGATGTCATGATCAACAATAGGCCCAAGGGCATTGAATCGCTCTTCTGATAAATTGTACAATCTATCACTTCTATTAGAAGCCTCCAACTCTATTAGAATCATAAGACCCAAAATGCATCAACTTACAAAGTTTGATAATATTTAGCCAGTTAAGACTGAAGATATTATAATATAATTATAAAATACCATAAGTAGGTCACAGTGACCTACCTTTTGATTGAAATTTTCTGAGGACTCAAGATACATTAATTTTGAACAAAAGCTGATGATTCTAATTAAATAAGTACATGATATATTCAAAAGTAGGTCACCATGACCTACTCTTTGGTCACTACATTCTCTGAAAATCCAGATGTATCATCGGAAAAGTTCTATGATTCTAAGCCAATTAGTACCAGAGATAATTAAATATAGCCATCAAGTGTCAGAAGTAGGTCACGGTGACCTACTTTTTGGTCGACATTATTCAAACACCCATAATGCCTAAATTGACAAAATTTGATGATTCTAAGCCAATAAGTACCTGAGATATTCAAAATTAGGTCACTGTGACCTACTTCTTGTTGGACATCGAATGAAACCCTACGATGCCTCAACTGACAAAGTTTGATAATTCCAAGCCAATAAGTACCAGATATAATTAAATATAGCCATAAAATGTCAAAAGTAGGTCACAATGACCTACTTTTTGGTCCAGTTTTCTCCGAAAACCCATGGTGCCTAAACTGACAAAGTTTGATGATTCTAAGCTTATACGTATATTCAAAAGTAGGTCACTGTGACCTATTTTTTGGTCCACATTCACTGAAAACCTAAGATGCCTCAACTCACAAATTTGATGATTCTTAGCCAATAAAGTGCCTGAGATACTTAAATATAGCCATAAAATGTCAAAAAGAGGTCACTGTGACCTACTTTTTGGTCGACGTTCTGAAAACCAAAGATTCATCAACTTACAAAGTTTGATGATTTCAAATCAATACCAGAGATACTTATATATATAGTCACAAAATGTCAAGTAGGTCACCATGACCTACTGTTAGGTTGTCACTCTCCAAAACCCAAGATGCATTGACTTACAAAGTTTGATGATTCTAAGCCAATAAGTACTGGGATACTAAAATAAAGCCATAAAATGTCAACAAGGTCACCGTGACCTACTTTTAGGTCGTCACTCTCCGAAAACCAAATATGCATGGACTCACAAAGTTTGATGATTCTAAGCCAATAAATACCTAAAATTCTGAAATATAGCCATAAAATGTCAAAAGTAGGTCATCGTGACCTACATTTTGGTCGACATTTTTAAAGACCCAAGATGCATCTACTGACCAAGTTTGATGATCGTAGGTCTCAAGGTAATCAAAATATGTGTTTTAAACAATTTGAAAACAAATGTCGGCAAATTTAAAACAGTAGGTCACAGTGACCTACTTTTTCATAAACATGTTTTAAGGTCCAAGATGCATCAACTTACAAGATTTGATGATTCTAAACTTCCCGGTGTCTGAAATAATGGGATTTTATGTTTTTAAAAGGATAAGTCATAAAGTTCAAAAAAGTAGGTCACTGTGACCTACTTTTAAGTTCACATTGTTCAGGGACCCAAGATGCATCAACTGACAAAGTTTGATGACCATAGGCCTTAAAGTGCCCGAAATATGCCTTCAAATCAATTTGAAAACAAATCCCCACAAAATTTAAAGTAGGTCACCCTGGCCTAACTTTTGAGTTAACATGATGTGAAGTCCTAAAAGATGCATCAACTTACAAGAATTGATGATCCTAGTCTTCATAGTAAGCAAAATATACACGTTTTTATTAATCTAAATTTAGGTCAACTTTGAAGTGACCTGTAGACCACACCCTTTGCCCCAGGGTAATTCCCCATGCAAATTTTAATCTTCAACATATCCTGCATCCTTGTATGTAAGTTTGGTGATAATCTGCCTGGTGGTTATGGAGAAGAAGATTTTTTAGCAACCAGTATTTTTGGTTTTGTTTTCCTGATTATCTCCCCTTGTTAAGGGTTCCAACCCTTATTTTAGTATAAATGGTAGCCCTTGGGCGAAGGATACCCTGTGACAAATTTGGTACTGATTGGCCAAGGGGTTCTTGATTATGGCCTATTTTAGAGAGGCCCATGGGCCACATCGCTCACCTGAGTAGCTTTGACCATTCTGTTCATTACCAGATTTCCCCCTTGTAGTACATGCATCCCTAACCCTACCCCACTGATCATAATTTAGACATTTTGAAATCTACACTACCCCAGGATCCTTCCATGTGCACGTAAGTTTAAGCTTTTCTGGCTCAGTGGCTCTTGAGAAGAAGATTTTCAAAGATTTTTTCTATATATTTCAATGTAAAACTTTGATTCCCCATTGTGGCCCCGCCCTTCCCCCGGAGGTCATGATTTGAACAATTTAGAATCTACACTATACCAGGATGCTTCCACATAAGTTTCCTATATATTTCAATGTAAAATTTTGATTCCCCATTGTGGCCCCGCCCTTCCCCCGGGGGTCACGATTTGAACAATTTAGAATCTACACTACCCCAGGATGCTTCCACATAAGTTTCAGCTTTTCTGGCCCAGTGGTTCTTGAGAAGAAGATTTTTAAAGAGATTATTTCTATGTAAAACTTGATATATTTCTATGTAAAATTTTGATTCCCCATTGTCAAAGATTTTTCCTATATATTTCTATGTAAAATTTTGATTCCCCGCCCTTACCCCGGGGGTCATGATTTGAACAAATTAGAATCTAAAATATGCCAGGTTGCTTCCACATAAGTTTCAGCTTTTCTGGCCCAGTGGTTCTTGAGAAGGTTTCCAAAGATTTTTTCTATATATTTCAATGTAAAACTTGGATTCCCTATTGTGGCCTTGCCCAACCCCTTGGGGTCATGATTTGAACAATTTAGAATTCTACACTACCCCAGTATGCTTCCACATAAGTTTCACCTTTTCTGGCCCAGTGGTTCTTGAGAAGAAGATTTTCAAAGATTTTTCATACATATTTCTATGTAAAACTTGGATTCCCCATTGTGGCCCCGCCCTTCCCCAGGGGGTCATGATTTGAACAATTTAGAATCTACACTATATCAGGATGCTGCCACAGTTTCAGCTTTTCTGGCCCAGTGGTTCTTGAGAAGAAGATTTTTTAATGACCCAACCCTATTTTTGTCTTTTCTTGATTATCTCCCCTTGCGAGGGGATATGTCCCTTCATTTTAACAATTTAAATTCCCATTCATCCAAGGATGCTTTGTACCAAGTTTGGTCAAAATTGGCCCAGTGGTTCTTGAGAAGAAGTCGAAAATGTGAAAAGTTTACAGACGGACGGACAGACAGACGGACGGACGACGGACAAAATGTGATCAGAAAAGCTCACTTGAGCCTTCAGCTCATGTGAGCTAAAAAGTAAGTGTTTCTATTGTCTTTTATTTACAAGTAAATTCTTTTCTAAGAAATTTAGGGGCAATACGACACTACTAGTCCTATCTTGTTCTTTATTACAGACAGACAAACAAGGGTAAAACAGTATAACATCCTCTCCTTCTGATCGGGGGTATAATACATATGAATTCAAATATTATATTGTTAGGAACATAAACAGATTTGTTAAACAACAAAGATTTTCATAAAATATAGAGCATATAAAATACTGTAGACCAACTTTTATGCACCTGTGAGAAATATCCGTGAGTTTCATGACCTTCTTTAACATGCGACTATTTATTGACGTGAACCAATTATTATAATTTGTATTTGTAGAAAATGTTTAATCAGTCGTGAAAATTAATCGTCCTGGATTGACTTCAAAATGAATAATCATGAATAAAAGATGACATAGTAGTTGGTTTACAGTATCTTACTGATGGTATAAATAGCTCAAACCATTTTCTTTCTCAGTTAAAACAAACCCTGTAATTGCTCTGACAGCCTGGTCAATCTGGTAGATACACTGCAGATCAGAGAGGATGGGATACAGACATCTACAGCTCTCCATGCTGGCATCTCGTAATCTGTCTAAAGCATTTTTCCTTGTAGGTAAAAAAAAAAGTAAAAGTTTAAAATCTTACTTCATATAACAATTTCAAACACAACAAAAAAATATCGCTTTAGTTTTAAATTTACATGAATTTTTTCACAGAACAAAGTAGAACTGTCCAAAAGGGACAAATACCCTCACTGAGTTTTTCAGAGAAGGTGCCAAATCATGAATATGTGATAGATCTAAGAGGTATTCACAATTTCACAAACATTTAGAATAAAAATAAAATTAATTGCTTATTATATTTTTTTTATGAATGAAACTAATGTGCAGCCTACTAAGAAATCAATAATAAAAATATTGACCGGACATGAATTATAAACTTTTTTTTCTTTCAGAGACCTTGAAATTGCCCAAATGACCTTGGGTCAAAGTCATGAATCACCCTCAGGTCATGAACAATTTTTGTGAGAAGTGGTTTATTCCAATGTTCCTTTGTAAGAAAGATATGCACCCAAACTATAAACTTTTTTCTGTTAGTGACCTTGAACTTGCACAAATGACCTTGATTCAAGGTCTGAACAAACAGGCAGCAAGACAGAATTGAGCAAATTCAGATATAGTCAAACCTGTATTAAGCAGTCATCTACAGGATGCATTAAAAGTGACCTTAATGGAGAGGTGACCTTTAATCTTTTTTAAAGGAATTTATATTCAAATGCATGTATGTCAGTTTTGTGTTTATACAAGTTTATCTTTTGAAAAAGATAGGTGAGCTGGCGCCGTGGCAATTTTTAAAACACAGAAAGGAGGATCCGTGATCAAGTGATTTATTTTGCTGAATTCTTTAATTTTTATCGAGGCTGGAGAGTGATAAAGTTATAATTGTTTTGTGAAGTGTATTTTATAGACACATAGGTAAAGAAATAAGGTTTTTTTGGTGTTGACCTATTGTAGTTTTGGTGCAACGGAACATTTATAACATTTACTGGAGAGGGGGAGAGTCTATATAATATGGAGAAGATGCCAATTGAGGCATCATATGAGCTGGTTTAAGAATAGAATTTCTTGGCAATGTGGCAAATAAAATATAGGGGAGTTAAAAAGAATATAGAAAACAAGTAGAGCTTTTTTAAAAAGCTGTCTTTAGCAAAACCTTAAACAGTAAACTGATCTACACCTATCAGGCCTTATTATTCTTTTGAATCTCTTATATATTTCTACCACGGTTATCACTCGGTCATCTCCGTAAACTTTGACTGGCTGAGATCTTTCGTACCTTCTTCAGACAAGAAAGGGGTAAAGAATAATAACAAATTCTAAAGCCTGCAAGAAATAAAAATCAAATTTTATTTACAATGAAATTAAAGAGACCTTTTTAGTTATTTCTATAAAAAATATCAGGTTATTTAGAGTTAATTACTGCTGATTTTATTGTTCGCTTTGTCATATTTTAAGATTGTAAATCTTGAAAAATTGTTAAGTCATAGAAGTCATAACTTAGATTATCAGAAAGTTATCTCCCTTGCCTTGAACACCATTTCAACCAATGAAATAATTGAAAACAATTTCTACCGATCACAAAAGTAGAGGAAGTGCATAGTCCGAAGACTGTAAAAAACTTCAACTATATACATGTAATACCAAGGAAGACGGTAAAGATGTGAAGTAACTTGGTCCTTTGGATCATCTTTGTCAAGAAATGTTAGGATAAAAGCCAATACACATCAGATTTTTTAAAAAATAAATAATGGATTTATTCGTTATTTTTTGTGTAAAGTCTTGTTTCTGCAATTTGTAAGATTGGCTGAATTGACCAATCAGATATTAGGGTCTATCTTTGGTTGTGCTTATAGACTTAAAAAAAAAACTCCCTGTCTTTGTTTAGAACAATCAGATAATGACTCGGGCTTTTCCATCAGAAAAAAAAACAACAAATATGTAGTTGTCTTTTTTTTCTTCCCCAGAATGCACGACCATGAAGCAGAGCATGCATATTCAAGGAATTTGGACTAATGTAGTTGCTAAGTAGTACTCAAGAGCACTAGCAATTATGTATTTTACTACAAAATATACAAGAAAGTTAGGTATTGGACATTAGTGATTTCACTTTTTTGTATTCAGTAGATGCATGACTTTTGTAGATGAATTCAAACTAATTTTAATGAATTCAAAAACATTTAAAATAAAATACCTGTATATTGAATCTTACAGAATGTTGCATATTATCCCTCATCCCTCTTTATTTAAAACTGACTTACACACAATTTGATACAAGTGAGGTCAAAGTCAAATAAAGGGTCAAGGTAAAAAATGTTGATACGGTTGAATTGCTCTCATCAGTATGAAACAGCATATGAAGTTTGATAAAATATCTTCAACAGTATTTTTAAATCGGAGCTAAACACTAATTAAAGATAAGTGAGGTCAAAGTAAAGGTCAATGTCAAATAAAAGATCAAGGTCAAAATGTTGATGCAGTTGAATTGCTTACATCAGTATGCATCAGCATATGAAGTTTGACACTGATTTAGGAAAAGTGAGGTCAAAAGGTCAAAGGAAACATCAAAGTAAAAAATGTTGATGCAGTTGAATTGCTCTCATCAATATGTATCAACATATGAAGTTTGATAAAAATATCTTGAATGTTATCTTTAAGACTGAGCGAAACACTAATTAAAGATAAGTGAGGTCAAGGTCAAAGGAAAGGTCAAGGTCAAAAAATGTTGATGCAATTGAATAGCTCTCATCATTATATATCAACATGTGAAGTTTGATAACACCATCTTGAATGACATGTTTAATTTACAGTTTAAAACTGAGCTAAACACTAATTCAAGAAAGTGTGGTCAAGGTCAAAGGAAAAGTCAAGGTCAAAAAATGTTGATGCAGTTGCAAAGCTCTTATCAATATCTATCAGCATATGAAGTTTGATGAAAATATCTTGGATAGTTTCTTTGAAACTTAGCTTTGAACAGAGCTAAACACAAAGTATGACGGAAAGGATGGAGGGATGGAAAGACGGAAGATGGACATGACAAACTATATATGCCCAGGCCATATTCATGGCAGGGCATAACAATTATAAGGGATGTTTTGTTGTGGAAACAGTGAAAGAAATATGTTAAGAACACACAGTTAGTAATATTTTGAGATGACAGTTTAAAAATACAGATAAATAAATTGAAAAACAGCGCATTTTTTTGGGGCACAAAAATATGTATAAATATACATTTTTTTTTTTTCAATGGGTGGCTATCTACCTCTGTCTGTCAATTTTTTTTTATGGAGAGCTGCAGATCTGCAGCTACTGTGTAACAAGAAACAAATCAAAAATATAATTTGAAGAGAAATGCCAGGTATTTTAGGCTTATGGTGATGGTGACAGGTACTTCAGGATAACTAGTTCAATTTTTATACATCAAACAAGTTACAAAATGCATTGTAGTGTCGCTCACTTTTTTATTTACAGTGATTTTCATTGGGGTTTATCCTAGATTTAATTTTTTTTGTATATGCCAGTTACTTGGGGGTGAATTTCACATTTTACTGGAATATGTCACCTCGATTCAGTACTTTCAGTACTTTGATTTACATTAGTAACAAAAATTAGGAATCAACTGACTCCAGATCAGGTCACGTGATTGGACAAAATAGCCACTAAATACAGGGAAAAGTGGCAATTTCTTTTGAAATTTGATGACCGCTGACCATGTTACATAGGTTACACAGTGACTGCTTAATAGAGTTACTATATACTGTATATGGGGATAATAACCTGAGGTGTTTATATTTGCTATATTCACAGTGTTAATAAAGCCATGAATTCAAGAAAAAGCGAGTACAGTAAAACTCGTTTAGTACGAACATGGATATAGCGAATTCATGGATATAGCGAAGTTTTTATGGAACCCCGGCAAAATTCTTACAAATTTTTGTAAAATTTTACGGTTATAACGAACTCTGATATAACGAATTTACGGATATAGCGAACTGAATTTGAGTCCCGCTGAAGTTAAATATAATGAAATTTACATCTTTTATAACGAACCCTCAAAGATTATAAAAAAAATGATAAATTATACTTACTTTATTTCCTTTTAGCATTTTGTATATAAAATTCAATTCATAAGAAAACCTTAGTTATCGAAGATATGCCTTGTAATATATGCTTCACTAATATAGTAGGTAGTTATTCTTGAAGAAAAACATGCATAGTGCGAATTTGCTATAATGGTTATAAGAATTCGTTATACCAATATAACGAATTACGGATATAGCGAATTAAATTCACAGGTCCCCAGGACTTTGCTATAACCGAGTTGTACTGTAGGTTTTCGTATAAATTGATTTTTTTAAAAATTGAGAATAAATTAGTCAATACGATAGGTATATGTACATAAGAACAAATGATAGAATGCATGTTACTTAGTAAATACGAGTAATACTTGTAATTCAATTATTTTAATTATCACGCTTTACTTTAATTCAAATAAACAGCTAATAACCTGAACGCCAGATGCTGGGGCCATGAAATTTACAATTTTGGAAGAACACATGAGCCTTATTCCACCCTAAAACCAAAACCGGCAAACCAAGGGCCATGAAATTCACAATTTTGAAAGATGCAATCTTGCTGATTTTTATGCCCTGCCATGAATATGGCCAGGGCATATAGTGTCTTCCGTCCTTCTGTCCTTCCATCACACTTTGCGTTTTGCTCTGTTCAAAGCTCAGTTTCAAAGAAACTATGCAAGATCCCTTACAGAAATTTCTGATAAGTGACTTATAAGTGATTTATTCTTTTACTTATAAGTTGTTTATTCTGGACTTACACTTCACTGATACATTTAACTTATAAGTGACCAATATGTTACTCATTAGGATTTTATATGCAAATGAGCTGCTTGACCTATAAGTGACTTATAAGCCAGTATTAGCCACTTATGCTTTATGTTACTCATTAGGATTTTATATATAGTCACTTATAAGTGACTTATAAGTCAAGCATTAGTCCCTTCATACTTTATCAAGTATTAGTCATCTATAA